GAGTAGCACTTGTTGTTTGTCATTTCTCTGATCACAAATGCAGACAGGGTTTTATGTTTACATGGCACAATGCAATGCAACGCAACGCGTAAAAAGACAGTATAAGTCATTATAATCAGTAATTATGTCCCCACTGGATGCAACAAATGCCTCGTTTGTAATGGGTTTTAATGTTTTTGTGTCGTCGCTCCGGCCGGACACGGCATCAACAGTATGTGAGGGGCGTAACATTTACATAAACACATTTCATTACACCAAATACACAAAATAATGTTCTTTTTAGCAGCATCATATGACCCCTTTAATTATAATATTTTATTATTAGTAGACCAGAACACGTGGGCATGTTGTCATTCTTACACTATAATACTGAACTTTGATTTCAGTGATTTGAACTATGAGATGGACACTTGCTTCTTGCACTCTCTGTTGCACTTTACTTTTGCTTTAAAAAAAGGATTTCATAGAAATTTGGATTTCATTTGGAGTTTCACTACTGAAGTCCTCCATTTTTTGCTGGAGATGTCTGTTTAAATCGGTTGTTTACACATTTCTAAGAGTACTTTTAATAATACATTTTTAAGACTTGGTTCTAGTGGACTCTAAACATTGCATTTATTTAATGTGAAACCCCAACTGTTGGGGTTAATTTAAACAGATTTATTTTTCCCTTTGTAGTTGCACTCAGAGCTGTAATGAACAGAAGCCCAGAACATGTGGATATATTGACATTAAGAACATGCTGATTTACTTTTGTTTGAGATAATTATTTTCTTTTTATTTCATTTTTATTAGGTTTGTTTACATTTTTACATTTCGTCAATGGCTTGTTTACATTTACACTTTTTTATGGTACACTACTGAATGGCAAAGTTGCAAGTTTAATAAAATGTCCTTTAAAATTTTTATTTTTTTTTGCGTGTGGGAAATTAATCATTTAGATTAATCGATTAATCGATAGATTAATCGAAATAAAAATAGTCGTTAGTGGCAGCCCTAGTTTATTGTACGTGTCCATTATTAATAGCTGGTGATTAATTCTCATTACAGTATTGATTACTTATGATTATGCCAACATGTTTGATGCATGTGTAAACAAACCTATTAAAATAGTACAGAGGGGACACAAAGTTTTTGACTTATCTTCATTTTGGAGCATTTTCTTTAAATACCAATATGTGAATTATTTGATTAACCAGCATAACTAATTTACGTAAAACTGGTAATAGATTGACAGTCCTGTTATTTAGCAAACAGGGGTTGTCTTCTGATTTTCAGTAGGGGATTGATCGCTGCAGTGGTGTTGAACTCTGATCAGATGTCTAAAACATTCAGTGTTTTAAGACCGAACACTCTCAGTCTCGGTTAACAGCTGCTGAGGGGCTGTAGAGAGGGAGACGTCTCTCTCTCTCTTTCTGTCAGTCAGTTGGATTGGTGTCAAGATCAATTACCGGCATGCTAAGCATGAAAGTTGCAGCACTCATACTGGTGCTCATGTCTGCTGAGAGCTCATAAGTGCGAATTGCTTGTGTTGAGTGCTCTGAGCATTACTGACTTGTCAATAGGCCATGAAGTCAACAATGCTGCTCTTGGATTGGTTAGTTTGCTCTGTTTATATGATGGATTGTGAATTGTATTAATGTTTTGTATGGATGCCGCTGTCTGTGAGCCCAGACACCAGTATGTTAAGAGTTTAGATTCAAGATAAACCCGTGTCTGGCCAAATAAGATTTCGGTGTGGAGATAAAGGTTAGAATTATGATTATTTGATAGTACTACAGTACACAGTTAGTGTATATTAGCACTGTTTGTTGTTTGCTTTGGGATCTGATAGAGCATTTGGACCTGCATTTGAATTCTGGTAAAAAAATAAATAAATTCATGGTTTTCTCAAAAATATTAAGCAGCAACTGTTTTCAACATTGACAATAAAAATAAATGTTTCTTGAGAAGCAAATCAGCATATGTGACCATGGATCACAAAACCAGTCGTAAGGGTCAATTTAAAAATAAAAAAAAGAGAGAGATTTATGCATAAATATTCAAAATATTGAGAAAGGCGCCTCTAAAGTTGTCCAAATTAAGTTCTTAGCAATGCATATTACTAATCAAAAATTAAGTTTTGATATTTCCAGTAGGAAATTTACAAAATATCTTAATGGAACATGATCTTTACTTAATATCCTAATGATTTTTGGCATAAAAGGAAAATCAATCATTTTGACCCATACAATATATTTTTGACTATTGCTAGAAATATACCCATGCTAATTAAGACTGGTTTTGTGGTCCAGGGTCACAGATTAAAATGATTTCTGAAGGATTATCTGAAACTGAAGACTGGAGTAATGATTCTGAAATGTCAGCATCACAGGAATAAATGACATTTTACGATATAAAATAGAAAATGATTAAAGAAGTCTGCATTTTTTTCTGTGACTCGAACTGAAGGGGTGGCGCTCTGTTCTGTTGTCTACTGCACATACTTCAAACACACGAGGGGCTCGTGATGCAATCATTTCAGCTTTTGGTGCCACAGGTTACTGTAAAATTTAACATAGCATGATGACACATAGTTGTGTAGACAGAGGAGGTGGATATTTAATTTGGAATGAGGAGCTCAATAAGAAAATTGTACACAAAAGTGCAGATGTCTGTCAAAATAAAAGCTTTAGGGTTTATCTGGACCACCTAGCAATGCTGTTTTTAAAAGAAATTAATACAAATGTATTAATATTGCATGATAATACTAACTTTTGCACTAGCAGTGCAAGATGTTAAAAGGATAGTTCACGCACAAAAAAGGGATCATTTACTCACCCTCATGTCAATTCAACCAAATCTTTCATGCATCAAAAAGTACAAAAAGCTCAAAAGTATCTGAAGCTCAAATGTGCTCAATGTATGTGCGTTGATCAGTGTTTATATGTGAATAAATAAATCTGTTAATCAAATAAAGCAAATTGTGTCTCTTCAGAAGACAGGAATTAAACCACTTGATTCAAATGGATTATTTTTACAAGGTCTTTTTTGTTTGTTTTTGATGCATGAAAGTTTTGTTGGCGTGGACTTTCAAAGTACAAAAATGATGAGTGAATATTGAGTGATTAATTTTGGTTGAAGTGTCCTGTTAAATGTAACAGTTTAAATCCCAATATTTGTTGAAAATCATAAAATTGTGTAGTCTTTGTACACAGACGCAGTCCAATGTGCTCTGGCACCAGTGGTAAGAGGATATACTGAAGGGGAAGTGGATTGAGTGAGGGGGCGGCTGAGGGTTTTAATGGAACTGCCTCTTCCTCTTCCCCTCGTCCTCTAGGTTTTGCTATTAAGCACTTAAAATTGTGTCAGTAAACCCATTGTGCATGACTTCTTTTTACTTGATTTCTCCCACAAACATCTCGCATAGTATTTGGTGTCACCATCATATATTGATCTCGTTATTTCCTCCTCTCACAGGGATCGAGTCTCTCAAGCAGGTGACCCGCCGCTACGCCCGAAAACAGAACAAATGGTTCCGCAACCGATTCCTCAAGAGTAAGTCGCAATGATTAGACACACTTTTCTTAGTTTGGGTGCTGGTGTGGTGTAGTGGTCAAGTTCAGAAGGCAGCTTATTTGATCCCCAAATGGTACCAAACTGCAGGTTATTCCAGCCATAATATCCCTGGAATAAATTCATGCATGAAACCTTTAATGTGAGTCCCCCTTCCCTTTCCATCCTGTTGCTTGTGTTTGAGAGTTTAATGGTCTGTGAGGTACGGTCTCTGCTGCTGGATGCTAAGTAACACCATAGCTGTGCTAGTTCAGAGTGCATCGTAGCCACTGGCTTTAATTTGGATCACACTTACTCTCAAGGGAATTGTAGCCGCAGTTAACTCTTTTCAATTCTGAATTCATTGGTGTGCATTATATGTTGGCTTCACTCGTGGCTTGTCTATTGTATATTGGCTTCAGTTGCCCTCAGAGGTTACTGGAGCTGTGTATGTGTGCATATTTTTCGTTTTCTTTCAGTACGGTCCAATGATCAGGTAATCACAGCCATTTTTTAACGAGATGGACTTCACACAGACCATTAAACACACAAACGTTTGTGTAGAAATACTATGTGTGTGTTTGAAGGCTACCCCTCCCTTACAGACAGCCTAAAAATTCCAAGGCTCAGGGTTCAGTATTTACCAGCCTTGGGTTGATAAAAGATCAAATGCTTGTAAAGCTTGGGTGTTTCAAGACACGGTCAGTCTGAACGGTTTGTACTTTTACTTCCTAACAGACAACAGCCTGAATCAGCGAACTCTTCAATGGATTAACAGCTGTGTGTATATGTGTGTGCTGGTGACATCAGGGTGTGAAGTTTATCTAGAGAGAGGAAGTGAAGGACGCTTTATAGAATGAAGAATGTACGAGTGAAGCACTATTAGTTGTTTGTGTAATAAAAGCTGTAAAATTAAAAGGAGGGTGTGTATGCATGTGGCACAGGGGACGCTCACATAGGTTGTGTCTTGGTGTATGCAGAAACAGCTAGGGTTAGGGTCCCAAGGGTGGGTTGTTTAAAGATAAACTAATTTTAACTATGCTCATAGAGAGAGATGCTGAAAAAACATTATAACGTGGCACAGTGGTCTGTCTGATGCATATGTACATAGATGAAAAATTTAAAAAATAACACGAAAGAGTGCAATAGTTCATTCTGTGTATAAAAGCTTTAAAGGGGTCCTATTATGCTCTTTTACAATGTCTTGAATTTGTTTTGGGGGTGTACTAGAACATGCTCTCATGCTTGGTGGTTTTGGGAAAAAAAGGAATTATTTTTTTACATAATTTACATTATTACAATACCTTTCTCCCCAGACTGGCACAAACGGCTCGATTAGTTCCAGGTTCGATGAACGCCCGCCTTCCAAAAAACTTTTTATTGTTATTTAATTCTAACATTATAACATGAATTGCAGTGAAACTGTTATACAGTTGAATTTATTTGTACCATAGTCCAGTGTTTCCCAGGCGGGCGGCATATTTATGCAAACTCCTTCTCTGCCAGCAGGAGGCGCTGTTGGAGTGGTAGAGATCAAGGTTTCCCCGGTAGCGGCTGTACACAAAGCAGCGCTCCGCTCAAAAAAAACACTGCTTTATCAGACATTACATGCGAGATTAAATGAAAATGACATCCAATTTTCTGAAGACAGTCGGTTTCCTTCAGAAATACAATGATATAAAGACACCCGCTCTCAATGTACCGGAAACACTGTAGTCTCATAATTGAAGTGTATATTCTGCAGATTACATCATTGTCCAGTATTGTACTGTCAGCAATTTATTATAAAAACGTTTTCATAATTGTAACATACGTATTTACATACATAATTATTCAGGTGCATGTGTAATAACTTGCGAAAACTTAAGGCTACAGTAGGGATGGGCGATATCTTCTCGTTTGCGATATACCGGTAAAAATTCTCCACACGATAAGAATTCATCTTCCCACGATAATAACGAGCAGCTCCTTCTACAATCTGGAACAGGTTTGGATGGGGCTGTACAGTGCGACAAAAAACAGTCTGAGCCTTGAGTTAATGTATTCCAGTAGCACGTGTGCGACGCAGTTTTACATGTGTATGAGTCGTTTACAAACCTGTTTTTAAACAGTCATCACATTACGTGTGTACTCAGTAATGCTCACAACACCCTATTTTGGGTAAAAATAGGAAAGATAATACTTTTCTCTAAAGCAGTGGTCGCCAACCCGTCGATCGCGATCGACTGGTAGATCTTTATCACTGTCCCAGTAGATCCCGAAAAAAACAGTAAAATAAGTACAAAAATGCATTACATTTATGGGGTTATATTAATGTATCACTGAAGGGTACTGTCTTGAGAAAAGTTTAGATGGCAATGGCATTTTCTTCTCCGTATAAAGCGCAACTCTGCTTTGTTTACAGCGGTAAACAATGAAACGCTATTGTGCGGTCGGTTCATAAGCAGTGTTGCCAAGTCCGCGGTTTTCCCACGGAATTGGGCTACTTTAACACTGTTGCCGCGGATTGTTGTCCATGCCCGCGGGTTGAAGCGACCCCAATAACGTGATATTTAGTCCCTGGAATGTGAATTTTACTTGAAGATCCCCG